ATGACAGTCCGAAGATTGAGAATTTTGGCCGATCATTGGTATTGTCGGACACCACGCTTTGAGAGCTTATAACTTTCTATGCACTCTTGCTAGAGCTACAAGTTTTGTCACGCAAATAAAGGATAACTATTTCTATAATAATTTGCAGTTTCATGAGATGGCAATGTATAGTTTTCCTAAAACAAGTGTCCGAAAATTGATGGTGTACGATCATTGATAATGTACTCTAGTTACCAGCTTCTCTCAGTCTCACTGTTACTCTCACTCTTGTAATGAATCCTGTTCCATTGACTATCACACGAGACAGTTCAGTAGATATGCCATTCCCATTCACTGAACAACTGACAGTAGTAGGAGGACCATCAGAGACATTGAAACTAAGACTGAAGACTGGCGGAGTAGCTAATGTATTAGTGGAGAGGAGAGAGAACTGCATAGTAGGATCAGCATCAGGACCATCTGTAAAAGTATATGCATTAACAAGAGTAGATAATAATAGTCTATCAAGGCGGATTTACAATATTACGCTAGTCCTGACGTTACGTTGACGCTGGAATAGAATCTGGTTCGTCAAAGGTCAAATCACCCACGCTTTTGATTAAAAATTGACGGTACGCTGGCCTAATGTCATATTGTAATCCGCCTTTATATAGGCGGTAGCCTATATGTAGGATTGAGGTTGGTTTTTCAAGATGGCGACTGTTTTTATGATTTTCAAACACTTATAACTCTTTTATCTTACGTTGTACAGCCTTATAAATGGCTTAGATGAGCTCTCCTTCACTGAGCGATTCTCCTGGTACCTTTAAAGTGGACTGCAATGTAGCGGGAGCTTTTCTGGAGAATAGGCCCAAATTCAAATTTCTGCAAAATTCTTCAGACTTTTTCTTCTTCTTCTTCTATGCACCCGTTAATCTTTTAAGCCAGAGAAGCGCTCGAGTTGGCTTTTACATCATTCCTCTAGGCTTGGGTCAAGGACCACAAAGGTAGTTTCAAAAAGAAGCGAGGACAGAGAAGAAATGGCAGACAACTGAGACAAAATCCAGCTGCAGAGTGCAGACACCGCGTGCCGGCGCGTGGGTTTGTGGTTTGACGCCATTTTAATTTATGCGCACGTGATCGGCATGAATATAATTAACCTAACCACAGAATCATAACAGAATGTAATTTATTAATTTAAGAAAAAGAATGATAACTGCTATGATAACACTTTGAAGACTATCTTTATGCAGTGGTGTAGGATTTTTTACCACACCAGTTTGCAAGTACCCTCTTGTTTCTTTACTTTTTTCCAATTTAATCCTACTACTTTTCCATTTTTAATGTTTTTTATTTACTTTATTCATCACATACCATTGTTATTGTATCCAGCATCAGTATATGCTCCAACCACTAGTGTTTGATTTACTCCATTCTCATCAGGAATGATACACTTGTATAAACCTTTATATCCTGATAGTCCATCACTTCTAGCTAGTGCAATCTGACCACTGAATCTCTTACTAAACAATGGTCTAGGAACTGATGGATCATCAAAGGATCCATCAAATAAAGGTACTTCAGTTCCATTAGGATAATACCATAGTCCAATATTAGCACCATTGTTAGCACTCTGACACCACAAAGCATCATTGATATCATTAACATCATTATTCCGATCAGTATTGTAGAACTGGCTAGCATATATCATAGAGTAATCGGGTATTATCCTGTCCTCATAAGCTAGGTACAGTTGGACACCTAAATATGAGTATAAATCTAGAAATTATCAAAATATACATTATCTTCCTACCATTACTGGGTAGGGTGGAAGGTGCTTGTCCAGATACAGTCATTATCAGCTGAACCAGCAGGAGTAATAAAAAACAAGACCTATTTGAGATTGCCATTTTTTTAATTTAGATTTTATTGTTGTAAGAGATATCATGTGACCTTGAATTATCAGTTGTTGACATAAAAGTGTAGTTTACATACCTAAAATGGTAAATGGTATTTTAGACACTTTACTTAATAAAGATAATGAATAATGTTATCTATACAATGAATATGAATATTGTTATAACGTGCTATAGTCAATTAACTTTGTTTTAAATTCAGTTGTAGCATAAGCTGGACTGCATTCCATTACAATGTCATTATCTGCTTTTCTAAATTTCAAAAATTGATTTAGTACTGACTTTGTATACATTTACCCCTTTCAATCAATGTTAGTTCATTTTATGTGCATAACCAGTACCAGTATAATAATTATAGATATAGCCAGTATTAATAATACAATAAGAGCTACACTTAGGCCAACTTTCACTCCATTATTTCCTCCATTATTTAATAATACAGTAGTTGACACAGTAGTCATGATAGTTGTTTCAGTATGATAGGTAACTATGAACATAAACATGTATCAATAGGGATATGTTTACTCATGCTTAATGGCACTCTTGATGACTTGATGATATTACTTAAAGCAAACAAACTAAATGCATCTATTAGTATATGTACTGTCTTACTTGTTATTGATCCTGAAACAGTAATGACTGATGAAGTGCTTGATACAATAGTAGGAGTAAGAGTAGCACTTAAATAGAACTGGGAACACTAGTAATCACTAGACTACCTGTATAATATAGCCACTGTATGATTGATAATCAGTTTGTGAAGTTGATGTCTGGATTACAGTTGATATCATTGAAGTGCTTGAAACTACAGTAGGAGTGACACCTAATATCACATGTAATATTTATACAGTAGCAAATTTTTCCACATGTAGATATACCTGGTGACATTGGTTGCGTTTTCTCTCCACCATGAATAATTCCATTAACATTAAATGATGTAGCTATAGAGAACAAGTAGTTCAGATTAGGATCTAATCCTCCTATTAGACCTTCAGTAGTATCACCTGGGAATACTCTCATTCCTGTCTCTACTTGTCTCTTCTTTCTTGAGTTCTACATCTTTAAGGCATAGATCTATCATGAAAAGCAGTGGAGGTACTGAGTTGTATAGTGAAGGGGCTCAGGTAAGAAGCTCATCTGCAATCCACAGAACTCCAAATCGAGTAATTATAAATATTTATGGAACTCCAACGCAATAAAACATTAGCTGATTGCATTGAATCTATTTCACTTCATTTTATGCTTCTACATTGTATATTGAGATTATTACAAATCATTTTTATAGGTTGATACATGCATAGTACTTACACACAATCCATGTAAACATGAAGGTATAACTGAGCAGTACTGTAGTTTATGCCTATAGCTTTTGACCATTGACAGTTACTGATGCTTGAAAAACTTTGTAAAATGCCTCCACACATGCATGCAGTCAATACAGGAATGATATAGAAATAACTGGAATGAGCATGAGTGAAGGCCAGTTCACTACAATATGACCAGAAGTTCCTGTAAATTAGCATATTAATGTAGCAGATTAATGTATTAATTAATGTTCTGTACATTAATGTTCTGTAGCAGATTAATGTACAGTGTACATGTAAGAGTTGGGAAACTCTAATTCTCATTATGTTTACAAGCACTTCTGGTCATAACATATAATTACATACAAGCAATGATTAATCTTTATTTACATGTAGATGTATTATATGACTCAAATACATGTACATGTATTTACATTATAATTTTACTGATTTTATTTTACAAAAATTCTTATGTAGTTTTTCTATTATTTTGCTGGAGACGGCCACCAGAATTGACCCTTACAGTGTAAGGAAAGGCAATAAAAATAATTATCATTATCTTGACTGTATACAATCATTACAGGAAGAGCTATTTATTGATACAACAACTGGACATCCAAGACTACCTGATTTGGCACAGAAAAAATGTTTTTGTCCAAGTTCACACCAAGAAGTGAGTAAAACAACAATAATAATAATGATAATAATGATAATAATGATAGCATTATGCATACATGTACACAGAACTTGTGTAATACATTGCACATAAATAATAACATGTATACAGTAGATGTACCATAATTATTATCTACATGTACATGTATGTGTACATGTACATGTGATAACATATTTATTGCAATGTGAATTGACATTGATTTGAAATCACAATTATTTGGTAATCTGACAAGGAAGCACTTGTTAATCATAGCCTTTTTGCCCTCCTCCTATTGTTTACATGTACATTCACCTATAGTTAATCATCCATATCAAGTGTGTACAATTCTATTTGTAAAAGATGCAATGTAACATGTACTGGTACATATAGTAACAATAAATAAAATTTTTAAAATTATTGTTTAATTTGGCTGATAAATTTCAGCGAATGTATATCTGTACTATGTCAACTGGAGTATCCTCATGAAGAGATCCTGCACTATCACACATTCTAAATTCAATGTCATCAGTAACCGATTGAGGCAAGGTTTTAACAAACCAAGGCATTTTAGGAGAGGTGCAACAAGTAGCCTCAAAGTAGCCACACTGCTGACCATCCCACAATGGATCAGGATAAAGTGCACGATGAGCTGCATTTACTGCACCAGCTTCACAGTAATAATCCTCACCAACGAAAGACGGTGTGGTTTGATGGCTACCATTGTTACAAGGACAGTTTGCAGAAGATAAGGAATTTTCCACATATCCCGCTGCGTATGTCCAAATATGTTTGCGCGGACTGCTCCCGTAAGTAATGGATATACCATCAACATAGACATCATCAATTTCAGAACTTCCTGGTCCCCAAACAGGATAAATACCATCAGTAGTTCCATATTGATATCCTCTAACTTGCCCGCAAACTTGAGTATAGTTTAGTCCATAGCTTGAGAAAAAAGTTGAGTTGCATCCATAGCTTAAACTGGATCTACCACACAGCGGTGAGCTTACTGATGCAAAGTTACGTTCATGTAGTCCTTGAGGACAAGTAGCATCAGTCTCTGTCATGTTTATATGGCCTATTCTCATCCAGCCACCTTGGCCATCACAAGAGCTACCCTCCATATCACAGTAGACAATAGCCATGGTCCCATTGCTGGTAGTGATGTTGTAATAGCCTGGCTTGCTATAGGGAAAGTCATCTAGTATCTCTTTGCAAGACATGATACACGATTCAGGTATTTGATGTTCTGGACAAAAAACAAAACTTGTAATCCCATCTCTCCTCAGTTTGAATGATTGTCCAATGTTAGTATGGATACAGCAATACTCATGATAGAGTGAAGTGTGAGGTCTACCAGCAGAACCGCAGGTATAGGCTTTACTTGATGAGACATTGAGCATGATCAGAAGAGATACACACAAAAGAAGAGAAAGATCCAAAGACATCATTCACTGGAGAGCAATAATGAATACATGGAGATTGGGAATGATACCAAATTGTTCTTATTAAAGAGTGTGCAACAAGAAAATTAAATTATGTACATTCAAATTTATCTACTCTTGGTACACGTAATTCTAATTAAGTATCAAATACCCCTAGTACACGTAAGTAATGTGCTACGGCTATTACAATTAACACAAAATATTTAGTTGATGATTAATTTCAGCATAGATAGATTTGCTGATTTGATTATGCTGTACAGCGCTTTACTCCTGAGGAGTAAAACTTTTGTGGTCTTTTTGGATTAGCATGCAACGACAAAATTAAAGCTCTGCTAAAAATCAATTGCCATTAAGGGTGTACTTCTAACATCGTGAATTTGTGAAAGATACTTCTATAAAAATTATTTTTTATTATATCGTATAGCGGGTAATTTTGGAGGGGATTAAATTTGGCAAATTTGGTGTTTTGATAGCCATTCGCCAAAATAAAAATCCGCCATTTTGAGCTATTATACACATGCTCAATGGCACGAGGCCACAAATTTGCCAAATTAAAAATCCGCCATTTTGAGCTATTATACACATGCTCAATGGCACGAGGCCACAAATTTGCCAAAATAAAAATCCGCCAATCACCAAAATTTAGCAATTCACCAAAATTTAGCCTCTCCAAATTTACCCGCTATACGGTAAATCCACAAGAGTTTTGCTCCTTGAAAGCAAACACTATGAGGTTTATGGTTATATTATGTATTAAAAATTAAAATAGTATTATGATACATGTACATATTGACTCAAGTTTAAAATTTTGCATTACAGTCTGTTCTGTTGACATGTTTGACCTTTGAGGCTCTATTCACTGTTCTTAATGGAGCAGGTTTTCTATAATAAGTTTTCAGAGTAAACCTTCAGTTTTTATACGTACTGCATGCTTACTTTGGAGGTGAAGGTAGTTGTAATGACATTTGATTGATGATCTTGCTCTCATCCAAGAATTCTTTTTCCAAATTTTGACTGACACTTTGTAAATCTACAAGTATATGTACAAAACACATATAATTTCATGTACATGTTAATTGTCAGGGTTTAAGTTCCCTCCCTGTGTACTTCTGTATACAAAAGCTGTATAGTACATGTACATACATGTATGTACACATGTACATAACCTTCCCCCCAGTCAACTGCTCTGGGCTTCCCCCCCAAACAAAAATTCCTAGATAGAACCCTGATTGTACATGCATTCTGATACCTTTTATTGTCGGAATTGGTTGTTTCTGATACGAGAGTTCACTGTCAATGTAGCTCTATTAATTAAAAACATAACATTACACAAAAGGTCAATTACAGCAAAATGTGAATAGAATGCTATAAAGCTTACTGAAGTTTTCGCTACATTTATTTTTTATTCTTACTCAGCTTTCAGTCATACAGTATTGCAGCTCATTCTAACCTGCAGTAGGTCAATGTCTCGATGTCTTTGGTCTATCTCTTCCCTGACTGTGTTCCTCATACTAGCAATGGACTCATCAACATCTTGTATACTTAATGAACTAGTTGATTCCAACAGGCCAGTAACAGAAGAACTAATGTAAAACAATGAATTTAAGAATATTTAGTACATGCACATGTACATGTACAGGTAAATCTCATTTTCCTTACCTATTACTGAAAGCTAATGGTGTGTCGCAGTAGCGAGATGATTTATCACTACTGGTGCTTGGACGACTGCATGAGCTCCTGTGTTCTGAAATAAATACTATATTTAAAAATTAATAAAAACAAAATATGTGTATAATACTAGTCTACAAGTCATGTACATGTATGTACATGTATTATATCCAAGTGGGCTGATTATAATAAATTTTTCATATGCTATTTAATGACACGGTTCATACACTGTACCTTCAGTGTTTTGTACATAAGTGATGACAGGGCTCTTTAGAGTCTCCCGAACAACTGGTGAGGTAGAATTTCTATAAAAACAACAACAGACAAACCATCAACAAACTTGGCTTGCAAATAATCTGTATTCATGTAGCTGGTTTTAATAAGTCCTAATTTCATATACTACTACTTAAAAAATTTAAATTAAAACCATGCACAGAAATAAAATTGCTTTATAGCTCAATTTTGATCAATTAATAAGACATTACGGTCATTGATAGTACATTGATAGTACAGTAACAGTACCTTTGCTGTAAGTAAGAGACGAGGAATTTAATTTCTTGTATAAGTTTGTCCCTCACTCCAGGAGGATCAGCTAGTCGAGCAGGAGTGTCTCCATCGTGAGGTCTCCCAGGATCAGCCTCTTCTCTCATCTGTCGCCATATCTCCAACAATAGACTAGCCTACATGTACAATAAAATGGATACATCTTCAGCAAAAAACTACATGTATATATATATACCATACATGTACATTGTACATGTACATCATAGTGTGATTTTTAGTAAGAAACTCCCAATAGTAAATGCCGTAGAGAAACTACATATATTGGAAAACTACTAATATTAATAACATTATAATACAGTCTGATAGTCTTTTAGAAACCTCAAGTAAACATATTTTGGAGGTGTTAAATGCTCACTTCAGTGTGAAGGTCACAAGCTTCTTCAATCAGAGACTGTCCTATGGCTCTCTTGACTTCGTTAGCCTCTTTCTGTGGACAGCAAGACTGTATGACCATCCAAGTCGATGCAGGGAGCTCAAAAGCGTCGCTATTTACACTGCTACACCTACTGTTGTCCGCCATATTGCTTTTGCTGTCATGACAACAATCCACACCCAAAGGTATAGGTGGACCTGATGAAGGCGGGGTCAAAAAAATTTAATAAGAGGTGTGGCTAATAACTTCACAAGTTGATCAGGTAGATTTTTTCTGGATTTTTTTTTCTGGTTTTTCTCTTCTTTTATAATGGATGAGAAAAGCGAAGGGAAGCAGTCGTTTGACATCAAGTCCTGCTCCATGCACAGTGTGGTTGTGTACAAGGACAGAGCTGAAGTGAGACGGAATCTCCCCCTAAGACTGGAGGCTGGTGGAGAGACTGAAGTATTGCTAACAGGATTGTCCTCCTCTATTGATAGTGACTCCATTCGGTAATGATACAATAACCTACTGGACTTACCATAATTCAATAGCAAATTGCTTTTGTGAAATTAGCCTGGCATTAGGATAAGGGTCAGTATTTAATTATAGAAGGGTGTGGTTTTGGCGGCAAAATGGTGAATATGCATCTTAAAGGGTAACTACACCCAAAAATTTTTTTCCCTGAAATAAGTTGGTAATAAAGAAAGAATCTTAGGAAAAATAGCTAAAATTATTAAAAAGTACTGTTTCTATACTAAACCTTGGGTCAAAAGTTGCCTTGCAGCCATCTTGTCAAATCACTTCCTATAGTGGGCGTGGTCACGCGATGACGTAGATGGGGGAACATTAGCAAGTTTCTGCATTGAAATATTAGCAACTTTAAGGCTGGATTTCTAAGTTCTGCGTGCAAGGAGGCAATTTTAATGAAGTGGACCATATAGGACAAATCAAGTGCTAGCTACAAGCAGTTATACTGGTAACAAAATCCGTCTATTTGTAAAAACTGCTAAATGACAAATTTAAATTTGGACTACATAATTTAGCTCTGTATAGCTTCTAATAATTGCAAAAATACCTCTTAGCTGCTTTCTTGCACGCAGAACTTAGAAACCCAGCCTTAAAATTGCTAATATTTCAATGCAGAAACTTGCAATGTTCCCCCATCTATGTCATCACGTGACCACGCCCACCACCGGAAGTGATTTGATAAGATGGCTGCAAGGCAACTTTTGACCCAAGATTTAGTGCAGAAACAGTACTTTTTAATAATTTTAGCTATTTTTCCTATGGTTCTCTCTTCATTACCAACTTATTCCAGGCAAAAAAGTTTTGGGGTGCAGTTACACTTTAAGGCTGGTTTACAATATTATGCTGGTCCTTATGCTACATTGACGCTGGAATAGAATGTGGTTCTATTCTAGTGGAAAGCATGCGTCAAAAGGTCAGCACGGTATGACTTGATTTTACTGAAACTGGTAACAGTGACTGAATTCAGAATCAAAAAACAATGACAACAGTAATCGCCCACGCTTTTGATTAAAAATTGACAGTACGTTGGCCTAATGTCATATTGTAAACTAGCCTTTAGTCAGGCAGAACCTGACTATATGCATCTTGCTAGTCAGGGAGAGCCTTGCCTTATAGCAGATGCTTATTGAGGATCAAAATGTGGGTTGCGATACTAAATTGGTCTGTGTATAATTTTTCCAAATCAAGGGATGCATGAAGATTAAACTATACACAAATTTCTCACTGTGCAGCTTATTAGCAATTGCACTTCACTTCATGTTACAGCACTCTCTTTTTTTCCCCCTCTCTTCCTCGATCCCTCTCTTTCTCTCTCTCCTCCATCTCTCTCTTTCCTCTAGTGTTGAAGGTAGTGGTAATGCCACCATATTAGACGTTATTTATGAAACTAAATCAGAAGAACCTTTAGATAATGATGGAAAGAAAGAAGAGATAGACGGTCTCAGTGAAGAAATAAAAGACAAGAAGAAGGAGCTCACAACTATAGAATTTCAGCAGATGCTCATTGATCGTCAGAAAACTATTTTAACTGAGTTTTCTGGTCATGTAACTAGTAGAGTTCAGGACAAAAAAGTATTTTCTGATGCATATTGATGTTGAGCTGATTCCGACAAATAATTTTAAAGTTATGAGCATTTCAAAGAATGGCCCAATTTTTAAAAAGCAAAGGCTTATTCCCAAAATTGGCTCCAAATTTACCCCAAATTCTATTACATTTCCTGATGTATATTGATGTCCTTAATGCTATGTAGAAAGTTTGAGCTGATCCCAACAAATAATTTTCCAGGCATGGACATTTTAGAATTGGAAAGAAAAGTGTAATAATAACGCAATCTAGTGTGCATTTAACATTATTATGCATGTAGAACATGTTCTTAATCCTCAAAGTACATGTATGTGTATATTTCATGTACATACACATGTATTCTAGCCATTATTATCTTTCTTTGTTATTTCTCATTGTTAGAAAGAGGAAGGTGCTGATGGTATCTTCCAGTCAACAGTACATCCCGAGGCAGTGAATGGAGTGATGGAGTTCATGGCTCGTTTTGAAGAGAAAATGTCCTCACTGGATGAGCGATACCTTGAATTGTCCACTCAGAAGAAGAAGATGGAAGAAGAGCTGAAAGTACTCACTACAAAACTTGATAATCTTAACAGTTCTTATCAAGGAAAGGAGACAATAAGGTTCGATCTAATAATAAAGCCTGATCTTATTATTTTGAATGGTCAAATACTGTATGCATGTTTTGGGCCTCGCCAGCAATTAGCATGGGCGAAGACTACATGTACATGTACCTTAAGTGTGTTGTCGTGTTGTCTGTCATTCATTCTATCCACTGCAACTCTCACTTTGAGGCTTTGTGGTTTTAAAAGAGGCTCTCCTACAGTCACCATAACTTCTCCATGGGCTAGAAAAAGTTACTTTCTACTACTTTGTCAAGTCTAAATGTCAGTGGATGGCACCAAAAGCCATTAATCTTGCCAAATGTAGCAGGTTCTTGATAGAATTTTTGTGCTTCAAGTGACAGGGCTTTATAGCATCTCTAGAGAGTCACAGAAACTTAATCTTGAAAAAGAACGTAGCGTTTTGCTTGAACTTTATTTGTTTTGATTATATGATTGCCTAGAAATCACTTACTTCTTGACTTTACACGAAGCGCTTGTCCTTAGAAAGAGTAGTTTGACAAGAGTTTGTATGCAACAAATAGAGCCTAATAAAGGTGTGTGCGCACTAAGTCGAAGTCCAAAGAACTTAAACTTCTTCCAGCAGATAGTCCAAGAGACACCATTTTACTTTAGCAATCAAGATTTTGAAAAATTAAAGTCGAAATGACCTCCAACTTTCAATGCAGCATTTAGAAAAATTTATGGGTATTTTGCCAGCGGTACCCACTACCTTGGAGCTTGTAGAGAAAGTACTGAGAGATGCAAAAATGACTATGTGATTTTGTCCTTGTTGGTGGATCCAGGATGCATAAAATACAAAAGACCCTTCAGGATTATTAATGGAAAGGAATTGAACACTAAGTCTATCAACCCTGATGAAGCTGTTGCATATGGAGCTGCCGTTCAAGCAGCTGTTTTGAGTGGAGATGACAGTGGTAATGTTCAAGATGTATTGCTAGTGGATGTTGCTCCTCTTTCTCTTGGTATCGAAACTGCTGGTGGAGTAATGACAAACTGATTGAGAGGAACAGTCGCATACCAACCAAAGCATCCAACACGTTCACTATTTATGCTGACAATCAACCTGCTGTCACCATACAAGTATTTGAGGGGGAGAGGCCCATGACAAAAGACAACAATCTACTGGGTACTTTTGAATTGACTGGCATTCCTCCTGCACCTCATGGAGTTCCTAAAATTGAAGTCTCATTTGACATGATGCTAACAGCATCCTTCATGTGAGTGCTAAGGACCAGAGCACTGGTAAGAGTAACAAGATTAAGATCACCAGGGATGACTCA